AAGTTTTTTGGTTCTGTTTACATCGTCTTCTACCTCTTCGTAGTGATATTTTAGCGATTTTATGTGTTTTCTGCACCGATTTTAATTAGAAATTTTGATTTGTTACAAATTTATGATATAAAATGAAGTGCTTTGTGACTGGAACAGGTTTGTGCGTCTGTTTGATTTGCCAAGAGGCCTAAATTTGCGTGAAAAGTGGGTGCACATTTGTGGTCAGAACGTTGGCATTGAAAAATCGGCCGGTGCCGATAATATGCGATTGTAAAACACTCTCAATCATTAAAACCATATTTTATGAACTTTTTTTGCTAATTGTCATCAAGTTTCACTTTTTATATTTTATAATAAATACCAATCTAATCGCAGTCAATCACCGCGCCTTTTACGGTTTCTTTGTTTGTTTTCCTTTTTAGGCAGTTGTCAAAAACGCTCAGAAATTTACTTTTTTCATTCTTTTCCGATTGCGTGATCTTGTTAGTTGGTTCAGCCCAAGGCGAATACATATTAGAGGTGGCAGATATTCGCGTACCTGTGACTTTGTCACGGTTACTCAAAAGTCACGGGTAACTGCTGTGACAACTTCCAAAAAGTCCCGTGTCAGACTGTGACAAGGGACCAGTCGCAATTATGTTTTTGTACAGGATTGCGCCTTCCACAATACCAGTAACAGTCACAGTCACAGTTACAGTCACAGTTGCTGAAACGAGCTGTGACGGTGGTGATGTTAACCTTATAGAAAATTTCTTATAATGATAGGTTATTTAAGACTAAAATCTGATTAATGTTTTTTGATATTAGAATTTCACACCATTAAAATCGAGTATGAATGACCACAACAAACGACGAAAATAGTTAGTGATGCCAAATAAATGCCCTTAGTTCACTCGGCAAAAGATTTCTGTTTTGCAACTTTGTTGTCACTGTTCTTGTCACAGTCACGGATGAAAATCACTGTGACTGCAAAGTCACAGTCACAAATGACGTTGTTCCTCAAAAGTCACGAGATCGCCCATCTCTAATACATATAAGGTGGTATCGATGCATGAACCAACGACTACAGATCACCTAATCAGCCATCGTTGTATTTGTAATCGATTTTCAGAAAAAAGTTTTCGTAGCGTTTTTGACGTTTTTCGATTTTGTTTACACCGTCTTCTACCCCTTCGGAGTGATTTTTTAGCGATTGAATGTGTTTTCTGCAGCGATTTTAATTATAAATTTTGGTTTATTACATATTTATGATATAAAATAAAGTGCTGTGTGATCGGAACAAGTTTGTGTGTATGTTTGGTTTGCCAAAAGGCGTAAATTTGCGTGAAAAGTGGGTGCACGTTTGTGGCCAGAACGTTGGCATTGAAAAATCGACCCGTGATATGCGATTGTAAAACACTTTCAATCATGAAAACCATATTTTATGAACTTTTTTTGCTAATTGTCATCAAGTTTCACTTTGTATATTTTATAATAAATACCAATTTAATCGCACTCAATCACCGCGCCTTTTTCGTTTTCTTTGTTTGTTTTCATTCTTAGGCAGATGTCAAAAACACTCAGAAATATACTTTTTTCTGCTTCTTTGATTAGGTGATCTTGTATTTTTGGTTCATGGTATCGATGGAACAAATACAACAATTACTTGTACTTTGTTTTTGCTTTTAGCGGGCCATTGTCAAATTTCAGCTATTTTTCCCCGAATGAAAAAGAGCGACAGAAAATGCAAACACTCTCACGTTTTCACTCACTCACTAACGAAATTCAAAATTTTGACAATCAAACGCTACTCACAGCTGATGAAACAAACGCCTTGGTTCAGCCCTTAAGTTCTTTGTCTAATGCAAACGCGCCGTTATAGATTTACGTTATTAGTCAGTAATTCCATAAAATTTGAAAAACAAAATCGTAACTGTGGCAATATTGTATACGAAAGTTTTTAAAAAATATGGTGAAAAAGAAGAAGCTTAAAAAAGTGTGGTAAAAAAATTTTTGCCCTCGGAGTGTACGTACGTCTAAAACGCTTGAAGCATGCCTTCCGTCTATCACAACATGATCGATTTGGTTTCTCCTTTTTCGATCTGGAGACAGCCATGTAGCTCGGTGGATGTTCTTATGCTGGAACCTAGTACTACATATTACCATGTTTCGGGCCCCGGCAAAGTCGATCAGCCTCAGTCCGTTATCGGATGTTTCGTCGTGGAGGCTGAATTTTCCGACAGTGGCGCCAAAGATCCCTTCCTTGCCCCCCTTGGCATTAAAATCGCCAAGCACGATTTTGACATCGTGTCGGGGGCAGCGCTCATATGTACGTTCCAAGCGCTCATAGAAGAGATCCTTGGACGCCTCATCTTTCTCTTCCGTCGGGGCATGGGCGCAGATGAGCGAGATGTTGAAGAATCTAGCTTTGGTGCGGATTGTGTCTAGACGTTCGTCCACCGGATTACGCACAAGAATCACTTCTGGCCACTCCCAGGTGAATGGCAGTCAGAAGTTGTCCACTACTGCGCACGGAACCATCCTCCGGCAGCACCTGTGGTAAAACCAAAGAGGCGTTGGCAGCATACAAGGCAAATGGCCAGCCAGTTCTAAATTATACAGCGCCTGTTTGATGGCCACGACTAGCTGGACGAAGCTACAGACTTGCCAAATGGCCGGACTCGTGACAACGACAAGATGCCTTCTGATCTCGCCGGAAAACCATAGATAGGATCAAATGCTTCCAGTAAAGAGGCACAATCCCTGAACAGACACATGCTCGAGGCGAATCCTCCATTCTGACACGTCGGAACGCATCTCTATGGATTGAAGGACGAGGTCCAACGTAACGTCCAACAAATAATGGATCTGCCGACTGTGTAGTCTGGAAATCAGCGGCATTCACTGGGAGACTGTTATGACCTACATAGGCTCCCGTCCTGTGAATGCCGTCATAAGAGCACAATTAGCAGCTGTGGTCGATAGCGAACTTAAATTGCCGTGAAAAACACGCGCAACTGCGCCCAATCAACGCAACTAAAATAAAACCTCTCGACTTCAACGAGCTTCAGCTTCCAATTGAGCTCCACATTACTCTGGTCCAAGGTCCAATTGAGCTCCGCATTACGGTCTGGATACTGTAGCCGTCTGAATTCCAATCTATCCAGACTCGACCCCGACATACTAAAGATTCCCCGCATGACAAGAACCACCTCTTCACTTACCCTCTCAAGGCAACTCTGCTAACACCGCTCTCCCTCTGGTCCAACCCCCGTCGAATTGGTACGTTTCCTGCACAATGCTAACTGCCTGAGGGCACTTCAATTATCTCCTACGCCGATGACTGTTTTTTCATGGGAACGATAATTTGTGCAATCGCATTAACGACTTATTTGGGGAACTGTCTAGGTTCTTATACGCTACGCACAAGCCCACTGGACGATCGGTGTCTGTGTATGTAACTACGCCGTCCCGATGTGGCCGGCCCGCGGTCACTAGCGATACGAAGCGAGCAAACCTACCGCCACTTTGTATCTCCTCACCTCAATTACAATCTTACCGACAGAGCCCATCCGCTACAAAGTCTGAGAAATTTTTAAAAGGTATTCCCAATAATGAATTGTTGGTACATCACCTCCATTTTTAGTGCACGATGGGTTCCTTCCATTCTTGTAATTTCGGTCGATTTTTTCTTGAAAACTCTCTGTACAGTAAGTAAAATTCGAAGTGCAGGTAAAGCCAACAAGCTAACTCCATGCTGAGATTCTGTTGGTTATATGTTCTTTTGTGGGGCTCTGTTTTCCCGCTCTGTAGAGCTCCTCTCTTATGTGTGTCATGCTATCCTGCGAGTAATACTTAGTATTATAGTGGGATATTTATCACACTTCAGCCTATCTCGGCTTACTGCGTTCCAGGGTAAAATTTATGCTGCCAGCGGTCCAGCTTCCTTAGGAGCTTTAACCTTCGCGTAGGTCTCGAGTTGCTAAACTAACCTCATCTAATGACCAAGGGTGCCTCTTTGAGAGTCGCACCTTATTCGGGACCCGGTAGTTAAAAAGTTCTGCGAAATTCTCTAAAATCTTTGTATGTGCATATACCATCAAGGGAGATCTATGAGTAGAGGAGCGACTGCTTAGGAAAGCCCATTGGAAGAACTCACACGGGCTACGGCAGGCCCGTATAGTAAGTAGGACTGGGACTATTCTTGTATTCGGATATCCGGTCGAATATTTGTTTATATATGTAGACAAATCCGAATATCAGAATGACCGGTTCTATTTTGTTACCCGGATATCCGGTTTATACTCGGTTAATATCCGTTAATTTAGCTATGTGGTTAATATCCGTTCATTTTATTGATATTACACGGATATCCGCATATTCGAATATTTGAATTAGATATGTATTCGGACTTTTAATCAGACATTCGAATATCCGGATATACAAAAACTAAGCTTTAAATATGACGGCAATTCCACAACCTCCAGAGAATCCTACATCGCAAATGTTGATTAGCTATCCTTCCTAGCCTGACAGTAGTTAAAATGAATGGACCTGGTTTTAAACTTTTTTAATACTAAAATATTCATTGAACTTGCATTGAACGCAACATAAAAAGGCTGCGAGATTAAAAAAAAAACCTTTTACTGACAGCTGAAATGCATCGCCTTGCAGCCATTTGAAAACTTTATTAAATTTTAGGAAACAAGTACGTAGTAACTGAAATAACGATTATGATTTTTCAACCGTTTTAACTAAAATTACCGTTAACTGCGCTAGCGCCAATCGCTTTGGGATTTTTCCTCAATGTAAGAATGTGAGATAGCACTCACCATACAAGGAATGGGATATTATATGGTACCAAATATCGGTTGGGACCAAATGCAACAGGGTGAAACCAGTGTTTATCACACTATACTTCCGGTAGTGCATTCCAGTGACGTCCGGTAGTGCATTCCAGTGGAAGTTTTGTGGTCTATCCCTGTTCTGACATTCATTGTTCTGTTTATCGCTTTTTTGTTTTGCTGTGACATTTGGTACCAACTGCCAACTGGTGGTGACGAATTCCGCTTGACATTTTTCCAATATACATAATTGTGCGTATACACACGTATAAAAGCGCGTTGCGTCGCATAATTTTTGTGAATTTTACGCTCGTTTAACAACCGCACCGGAACAAGCGCGTCTATGGCAGAGGCGGCAAGTGGCACACAGTCCACCACCGGTCCCATTGGTGGAAACAATGGTGCAGTTCCGGCTGCAAATAACACGGCTGTGGCAGGGGTCCATGGCAATGCCAATAGCAGTGCAGTATCGTCTGCTGCAAATGCGGCCTCGAATCCAAATGCGGAAGTCATACGCGGACAAATGTTTGAAGTTGGACCACGCTACAGGGACTTGACTTACATTGGCGAAGGTGCCTATGGTATGGTGGTGTAAGTATTACAGCGGGTAACATCTGCCTCGGAACAACTTTCATTATACATATGTATATATATACTCATATTGTGATCCCTGCGAAGGCACAGGGTGTGGCTAATGTAAAGTCGAAAAATGGCAAAATTTATGTCGTACGTACTCAACAGGCCCAAGCCAGCTATAGTATCATCATAAATTTGCAATAAATACTTTCTTTATCTTCTAGAAGTAATATGTATGACTATTTTCGTTTTTATTTAGATCGGCGCTGGATACATTAACAAATACTAAAGTTGCTATAAAGAAAATTTCGCCTTTCGAACATCAAACCTATTGTCAGCGCACGTTGAGAGAAATCAAAATTTTAACCCGCTTTAAACATGAAAATGTGAGTAAGCAACTCATGACGACCACTTCTTCCCACCATTATGACAAACCCCCTAGTTGGTTTATTTGTAAAGTGATTACTAATCATTTGGTTGCGTATGTTTTGTTTTTATTCCCTCTTTGTAGATAATTGATATTCGAGATATATTGCGAGTAGATAGCATAGAACAGATGAGGGATGTATATATTGTACAGTGTTTAATGGAGACTGATCTTTACAAACTACTTAAAACTCAGGTATGATTATTTAACAAATTTATGTACTTTAAACATATGTGCATACATAAGTGTCCTTAAAATTCCCTTTGCTAATAAATACTTTGTACCCGTTCTTATTTTGCAGAGGCTTAGCAATGATCACATTTGTTATTTCCTTTATCAAATTTTGCGTGGTTTAAAGTACATTCATTCGGCGAATGTATTACATCGGGATTTGAAGCCAAGCAATCTTTTGCTAAATACCACTTGTGATCTTAAGGTGAGTTATGTAAAGAATGTTAGTCATTTGTCAATATAAATTTGATACGATTTACAAATATTTCTCAAAAAATCGTTCAAATCGAATGCACCGGTTAATGAAAAAGAAATATTAATTCTAAAAATGTAGAACTTAACCTTTTTTATTCTAGATATGCGATTTTGGTTTGGCGCGCGTAGCTGATCCGGATCACGATCACACCGGCTTCTTGACAGAATATGTTGCTACGCGATGGTATCGAGCTCCCGAAATAATGCTTAACTCCAAGGGCTATACAAAATCGATCGATATTTGGTCCGTCGGTTGCATACTGGCCGAAATGCTGAGCAATCGTCCTATATTTCCAGGCAAACACTATCTGGATCAATTGAATCATATTTTGGGGGTATTAGGGTCGCCTTCAAAGGAAGATTTAGAATGCATCATAAATGAAAAGGTAACTAGAAATATTTTTAAATGTGGCCTTTCTCGGTTATTGATGTTACGGTCACTTGGCTCTTCCTATAATTAGGTAATCTTTCAGTCGTTTTCGTCCAGCTCAACTCGCGGTAGGCTTATGAATATTGTCGTTAGGAAAATTTATCTTAAATTGGTTGCTGGAGGTTGTATCCACACTCATGGTACCAATTGGGCCCGTGCTTATTTCACACAGGATCTACACATTCATTTTGTCGTATTGCAATTATCTAGGCTATTGGGCCTTGAATATAAATAAGCAATTGCTTTTTCTTAAAATTTCAGACCATATACTTAAATTTATTTGAACAATTCGAATAAAAGGTTGAAATTATAAGAAAACGTATTTATTTATTTTTTATTCATAAGGCCTATAATTTCTTCAAAGAATTTCTACTTTCGAAGTTAACCTAGGCACCTAGTAGTTTGTTATTTCTGACAGTCGGATTATATCAAGAATTAAATAGTAATTCGTAATTGTTGTTACAGCATACATATTCCCCAATGAATTTTTGAGGAGTGTTGCTGGAGTGACAGACCTTGTCCAGATATCAATCTGGGTCGTTCCGGTTACGTAGACCCGACTGTCGTGGGAAGGAGTTCGTAGTCGTACAGCACTGATAATTAGTTGCGTTTGTTTACTAATTTCCAGTAAAATCCAGTAAAAGTTTTTACGAATTTTCATGTTTTGCCGTTTTGTACGCAAAAACTTACAAAGTAGGGGAAATTGAAAGAGCGAAAAATGACGGATGAAGTTGCAAGTTTTTACTGGATTTTACTGGATAAATTTTTACTTGTAAGAATTTGCGAGTTTGGAAAACAGCTGATCGCATGTTGCTGGATAAAATTTAAACTAATAAGGAAACTGTTTGTGGGTTTTTATTGTGGAATGAATGGTTTTTATTGTGGTAGGAAACTTGCAAATTATTACTGGAATAGCGTTCGTGTACTTTTTCTTTCAATCTTTTCTATGAGAGCGAATTCTTAGAAATAAAGTTACTGAAGAGTTGCTGGCAAGTTACTGGATAATTTGTAAACAAACACAACTATTGTTTAGTTATAGTACATATATAGTTTAAGAAATCTGCCAATTCAATAAATTAATAAAATGATTTATTTTTAGGCTCGTAATTACTTGGAATCGCTGCCATTCAAGCCAAAAGTACCATGGGCACGGCTATTTCCGAATGCCGATCCACTTGCCTTGGACTTGTTGGGTAAAATGTTAACATTCAATCCGCACAATCGAATACCCGTTGAGCAGGCATTGGCACATCCATATCTAGAGCAGTATTATGATCCCGCCGATGAGGTACGTTCCAAACATATTATCTCTTAAATAATATTCCAAATAACATATTTGAGTTATATTTGTTTGTATAGCCTGTTGCGGAGGTGCCTTTTAGCATCAGCATGGAACTGGACGATCTTCCAAGAGAAACCTTAAAAACACTAATTTTTGAGGAAACACTTAAATTTAAGGAACGACAGCCAGATCAAGCGGTATAAATATTTCTATGTGTGCATCATTTTAATTGGCGCTTAATGCACATGGCATTTAAGTTAAAACACTACAAAAACAAAGTCATCAACAACACTTGCTGGGCCAAAATCTTTAGTGCACTCAGTCAGGCAGTCAGTTAGTCAGTCAATCAATCAAACAAACAAAACAAAAAAAGAAAAGCATTCAAATTAACTAACTCAAGCACGTTGCCGTTAATTTTTGGCGCATACATTTCATTGTGATTCTCGTTACATAAACATATGCATACATTTAAATTGCACTTTTCATCTTCGTCGTCGTCGTGGTCGTCATGTTTAATTATTTTCTTAACTACTAAGATAAATCTAGTATTTTAAATGTTTTCCTGTGTTGTAAACATTGTTCTTACTTACAACAACTATGAAACTTTAGCAAAAAAGAAATATGAAGAAAAAAAAACATGCATTATTAGATACAAAAGTACGTAAATTTTATATCAAAAAATTCCATTTACCATTTAAAAACTTGTTTCTTTATTAGCAATTTCTATACGTTAATACAAATATATGTATAAAAATAAAAACAACTCAAAAACAAATTGAACGTATCAATCGAACAGTCTTGTCTGTTTCATCGGTCGCAGTAGAAAAATAACAATACAAAAAAAAAAGATTGCAACAAAAAAATTAAAGAATAAACTGGGAATAATATGAAATTAGCCAAAAAAACAACAAATGCAAATTAAATAGCAAAATGCAACGCAAAGAGAAGAAATGGGAAGTTTGCAACAAACGCGCCGGAAACAGTCAGAAGTTGAATAACTTAAGCGGAAATGTATGTCGTGTAGTAGAATTTACGTATGTATTTAAAAAATTTTCGCTATTTGTGCACATATTTATATTTTAGAGTTTACAAACATAAAGAAAACATGTTGAAGAATATAAATAATAAATTTGAAATGAAAATGGAAAATGTATAACCAAGAAAGGAAAATAATTAAAAAGTAAAATCATATTAGTAAACTACAAGCATTAGGGCAGTATAAAGTAAAGTTACATAGAAAGCAAGCAAGCAAGTAAATAAAAAATATACACGCGAAGATATAAAAATGAAGATTGCTTTTAGTTAGAAGTGCATAATGTATATAAATATGTATGTAACTGCGGTCGTTAATGTCCATTAACGTCACTTGATGTCGGTGGATATGTAACTGTGAACTTTTGACAAAACAACTTATATAAATATTTGGCCTTTACTGTTTTTGCAACAACAAAATATCTTTGGCTTTCTAAATGGTGGTTGAAGAGCAACTAACTAAATCGTTATATTAAATCAAATCCAGCTATTCATTGGCCGACAACTCGAATTATATATATAAACATATGTTTTCATACATATATAAGTGGTTTTGTCGAAGTCTTAAATATGAAGTGGGCGAAGTAAAGACATGTACATATATATAAAGATGTACGTATGTACATACATATGTATGATAAATTATATGCAATGATTGGCTGCGGAAATAAATGTTTCGTTATTCATATGTATTTGAATTTGAAGCTTGGTTTTAAAAACTCTAATTGTAATATCATTTTAAGAATATATGTATGAGCTTTTTTTTCTCAATTTTAAAGTATTTATAATAACTCAGCTTTTGTAAAACGTAAAAAAAAAATTAGGCCGATTTTATATTTTCTAACTAGAAAACTATAGTTATACCCGTTTTTGTATTAATTGTATTGAATCTGTAGCATGCGCAAGCAGTTATATTTTCGGATCTGATTTTTGAGTTGTCCATCTTGTGAAGATGGTGTGCGATAACGTTGAAGCGACCAAGTCATGCTGCCCCGGTGTAGCCTAGAAATTTCAAAGCATGCAATGATAAAACATCTAATTCTGCTAAATATCTACTTAATTATTACATTTATAGTGAATTAACCATATTTTAGTAGAGGACAAATGTCGATATGGTAAAATATTACTTGGGGTGTTTGCCCACATAGGAAAAATATTCTCCAATTGAAGATATCATTTTTTCTATAAAGCCTGTTGGCATTTACTTGCGCTTACATTTTGATCTATCCAAGCCCAGTTCTGCCAACATGATGAAAGGCAAAACATGTAGCGGTTTTTGGTACTTTTTTTGCGCAGTTTAGTACTTGGAGACGTTTTTAACCATAACTAGAAGTACCCAAAATGGCTGTTGGTGGGACCATGAATAGTAAGAGAATACTCTTAAGTGCATTTCAGGGTACATACGTATGTAAAATAGGCTCACATACATACAGCATACATGTTTTTCCAAAGATGTATTGGGAATCCGGTGACAGTGACGTGTACCCGCCTGTTATTAAAACTGATTAAAAAACGCAGCGCACCTCAAATACAATTTGCTACCGATTGGAAGTGCCTGTTTGTATGCTTCTATTTTTTAATTTCATAATAATTATTGCATTAATCAGTCCGCATTTAAGGCCGGCTGCCTACCTTCCGCTACGATCAAGTGACGTTTTTTGCACATTGCCAATTATACACACATACATATACTAATAGTTTGAGTTTATGTATATGTAATTATGTATGTAGTGTCTACATTTACATTCAACAAAGGAAAACAAGGAAATTCGAGTTACCAATTATGTACGATAAAAAAGGCGCTTTTGCAATTTGAATGTTTCTTAAATGCATACATATGTACGTACATTTTTTCATTAATTATTCTATAATTGTACTGTTAATTGTATTTTAGACGTGTATTATACTAACTTCGGAATACATGAATGCGAATACATATGTACATATAAAGAAGTGTGCATGTTAGTTTATTATTTTGTAAGAAGTTATTGGAAAAGGTCATACCTGCCTGAGGTTCTGTAATTCACTTCCGAGTGAATTTCAATCAAATTCGCTTTGAATTCAAATTTGCAAGGGTTGAAATACACTCGGAAGTAAATTGCAGAACCTGCCTGATAATTAGATTTCAAAGGATAAGAAACACAGAAACACAGCTCTCATGCAAACAGACAGTTGCATATACTTACATACATACATATAATCGTTTGCATTGCGCTAGCATAATTAAAGAAAAAGCTTGTATTTGATCAAGTATGTACCTAAATTATTGTGCGGTGCGCTCTGCAAACAGTTATCTACGCACGCATTACTTATGCCGGATTGCTAAAGTGCCGTGCTAAAATATCACAGTTCGTCTGCGTATGCGCGGGTGCCCGCCCGCCTGAGTTTGGCCGCCATATAAACATATGTATGTATGTATATGGATGTACATACATATATATATACATCGCAGGTACATACAGCTGTATTCTTGTATATGATATCAAATGAGCCAATTTAAAAGTTATTTACATACATATATATATCCATAGTTAATTTAAAATTTAAACTTTAAACAAAAAAAAATTATATCATGTTTTATGTAACGCTGTAGCCCTTACTCATTTAAATTAATACATGAAAGTAAAAAAAAATGCATACATACATACATATGTATATACACTTGGTGAACGTGTTCGCGTAGATGAGCATTTGAGCATGCATAATTCATGTACATATGTACATTAGACCGTACCAAAAAGAAAAGTCCCCTTCTATCCCTGACTCGGAAAGTATTTTTGCATGGTAGTTAGAAAAAAGTGTTTTTTGGTCGTACGCAGGGGTTGCATTTTTATATTTGTCGTCATATCTTTGACATTTACAGTCGGATCGTAAAAAAGACAATTTTTTTGTTCCAAAGTTCATTGTCCTCAAGTACTCTGTTCTAGTACTTACCCACGAGATCTCAGTTACTATCACCCTAACATACCACCCCAATGTCAGAAATTTAAAGCTCTCCAAAAATTATTAAACTTTTGCTAAGAATTTTTTTTTGATTTCTCTAGCAGAACTATTTAAGAAAGGAAATTTGTATTGCCGAATTTAGGTGCCACAAAAAAAACGTAAAAAGGCGACCCATTGGTTCGGCCAAAAAAAAATTTGTTCGAAACTGCTTTCCAAAAATATTTTAGACTCGAGGGTGTACGGCGAACTTTTACAAACGTACATACATATGATTAGCGTACATCACTCTCCTTACAAAAAAAATCGGTTTCCATCGGTATTATAAACTGGCAGTTCCACTTCGCAGCACCTGGGTTCAAGCCCTGGTCAAAGTAACATCGCAAAAAAAAAATTAGAAAAAAACTTTTTTCTTAACTAAGGTCGCCCCTCAGCAGGCAATGGCAAACCTCAGAGTGTATTTCTCCCATTAAAAACAGCTTCTCATAAAATACAATCGCCGTTCGGAGTCGGCGTAAAACTGTAGATCCCTCCTCTTTGTGTGACAACATCAAGGCGCACGCCACAAATCGGATGAGAAGCTCGGCCAAACACTAACATATGTGTAAGCGCCAATCTATTATTATTATTATTATTATAAAGTCTATTGCAAAATATATCCGAAAAACATTTTGATTTTCGTAAGCTGGACCGATTTGGAAAAACCTCGAAAAATCTAGGTTTTTCTTAAATAAAGTTATGTAGTTTTTTCTATAAAAATTACCTCAGAAGTTAGAAGAGTTTAAGCTTAGAAGGTCGCATAAAAGTGTTTAAAAATTTTATAAACGGAATCATAATAATGAGAATTTACAAATCGGCCCATCTCACGTAAATCTTACTAGTTTTGTGAAATATGTATGTTGGCGAAAGTCTGAAAATATAATAAATTTTGTAATTCTGGTGGAAGAACCACCAACTTTTTTTGGTGAGACACCCTAATCTACTACATATATATGTATTTTTGCTTTGGATTATGTAACACCCTTATCATGAATTTTCATTACGTGTAAACTCGTTCACATCTCGCTTTGTAGTTCACCTATCGTTACGGTGACCACATATATATTTTGAAAATGCAGGACAATTTTTCAAAAAATTTACCTACATATAATTGCGTAGTATAAAAATAACAAAAATATACTACATATATATATTCCTCGTCATTTGAATAGCGCACCCTTTTGATTTTCTTTCTTACAAAGTATGCTTGACAAAATTTTTACATGGAAGAAAATTGCGCAGCACTGTTTTTTTTTTAATTTTCAAAAATTTTTAAAATCGGATTAAGACGTAGAATATGCTATATTTTTATAAAAAATTAATAAATATTAAATAACCAAAAGGAAAGCTGTAACTAGTAAGTATTAAAAGGGTGCGCTATTCAAATAACGAGGAGTGTATATTTCTTAATTATTATTCCAATTTTAAACTTTAAACATAAATCACATTTGCTTCATTGGTATTAATCTTTTTGTATTGAATTTTACAAAATTATAAAAAGGCATTTGTAAATACATATTACATATTACTTTACACGAAATATGAACCTTTGTAAAGCAAATTTTTTAATGCAAACTTTGTGTCGTTGAACACGAACAAAATACCCATGGTTTCAATGAAGTGTTTTCAAGATTTGCTCGAAAAACGAATTTTTAGTATTTTTTTCAGTTCATCGTCAATATCACATGAAACGATCTACAGCTCGAAAAGTATTGATGGGCCCTTGCAAAAGTATATAATTTGTGCAGATTGTGTTCCGTAACATCTACATTTCTCATCATGGAAATTTCACTTTTTTCGATTTCGGTCGCTTGTAACTAATAATTTTCATCAAAATCGGCAAAGTAATATATTTTTGTAAGAGGACTGTGGGTCGCTTATGTTGATTGGATAATTTTTCATGAGATATTGACGAATAGCTCCAAAATGTACCAAAAACACGTTTTTCGAAAGATTTACGAACACGCTTGTTTGAAAAGAAAATTGGCTTAGAAAACATTTTTTTTTTCTTAAGCGATTACCACAAAATTTGTAGAACAGTGTTGTTGATATATTTGATGCTGGTCTTCATTTTCTCGTCATCCATTGCCCAAAACCGTACAAAATTTAGAACGCATTGACTGGTTGAACCTTCAAAACCAGCTTACCCATATTTAGTTATCAATTAGTTATCGACGCTGATTTTATTTCGACTAGGAAAAGTTAATTTTAAAATATCGAAGAAAATGCGGTACAAAGGCAGGACACTTGAAAGAAAAAATCAGTACATTTTGGGGGTTTTCTGTTTTGAAAAACTACGCAGGACAGACCTTTAAATAACAGTACGGTCCTGCAAAAAAACAGAACGGATGGTCACCGTACCTATCGCGTGTTGAATATTCACCAAGCGAAGTAGTTCACTTCGAATCATGTTCACACTATCGTATAACGTATTCACCTGTGAAATAATTTACACCCGCACATATAAAATCGCAAATCAATATCTAAATTTTCCGGTGAAATTTTTTACCAAATATTCATGATAAGCCAGTATATATCGTTGATGATATGTAGAAAGGCCTTGACTAACACAGTTTGCTTTTGTTTTCTGGAGAGACCAAAAATGTTATATAATTGAAATAATAAAATTTTTATTGAAAATTATTGATGGAATTTATGTTAAATATCAATACCTAACGTAATTTAAAACCATTTGATTTTTTTTTTTTATCAATTATGCAGAATTTCTGTCAGTTAAGCTTGCTATACAGTTCAATGCGAGCGTGAGCGTGAACGTTCGCAAACTTGTCTTCAAAACTTGTCGTTCACATGCGAATGCTTTGCGTACGCACACAGTTGAGTGGGAGCTTTGAAAAAAAGTTGCATATTATGCATTTTAAATTAGTTTTTATTCTATAATTCTGAAAGATATTTTAATTCTCTACCGTTTGATGTATCAACTATCAAGTTAAGTAATAACGAAAATATTGGTCAAAATAAAAAGCTCACGCTCACGCTCGCATTGAGCTGTATAGCAGGCTTTAGGTTTTTGTGAATGCGAAGTTATGAAATAAATATTTCAGTTAAGGCTTTTTTAATTAATGTAAAATCTAATATATTTTGTTTCCATATCAAAGCAAGTTAGTGGTTACTTTGAGTTACAAGTATATAATATTTGTATAACTGCCAGATAAAATTAATAAGACCGCAAACGTATTGCTTCTTCTGGTCCCACAACATCTCCGCCATAAGTTTAAAATTTATTTTCGAACAGAAAGATTTTACGGCAATTTTTTTAGACAAAAAATTACTATGAACATGATCTCATCAATCTGGATGGCCTTTGACAGAAAGCATTCCTGTCGTTTGTCTTAGATATGCCAGTACACTTACGGTGACCATATTAACCAACGTGAAATAAAGAACAATTTTTTTCAAAATAATTTTGGAATACGTACATATGTACAAATATTACCGATTAAATAAAAACCCTTAAGTGGAGTGCGATGGTTTTCATTATATTTTATAAGGCAAATTTTTATTTTTTCATATTCTCTGTTTACAAATTGACCTCTGCAAAATCCAAAGCCCATTTAAAGGGCGGTTTAAGAAATAAGGACAAGTCGCGTCCTTTATTGTGACAAAAATTATAAAGTACAGGGGGCTAAAATAAAGGACAGTTCTTTAAAATAAAGAACGGATGGTCACCGTAAGTATACTCCTTACCATTCATCCTATTTTTTGTATTTGTAGCCCGTCGCTGCTCTATTTTTGCACTATTTATTGCGTTTTATTTATTTATTTGATATTTTTTACACGAAATTACCAACACGCTATAATTCAACATAGTCATGAATTTTAGCTGCAGTGGAATTCTGACAATCGCTACGCTAAATTTTCGTCGCTAGAATTCCAAAAGCAGTAGGGCCTAAAAGTATACAACATGGAAGAGTAACACATGCGATGCGTAATCACCCAAATCTGGCAGTGCGGCGGGCATACAACTAGTTATTGCATGTTGTTAGGAGCATCTGCTATTCCCTTGGAGATTTTTGGCGATAAAAAAAAAAATTTGGAAACGGCTGCTGGTCTCGGAATTATTTACAAATCGTCGCCTGGGTAAAAGATTGTCGTATGTTAATTTCGCCAGGTTGTGGGAAATCGATTGAAGTTTGGAATGCAATTTCTCAAAAACACGAGTATAGAATTTCTCCAAAGTCTCTGAAAATGTTACTAGTTCGCTAAATTCTTAAACTATTTAATTTTTGATGTTTATTGGTAATTAGTTTTGAGTTTATCAAGGATTTTATTTAGTAAAATTTTGTCGTAAGCGGCATTTGTCCACAATTTGGCAGCCACATTGTATAAAATACGACAAAATGCGATCAAAATGTTTACTAAAGTAACGACACTTTATACTCAATATCTCGAAAACTAAAGGAGATATCCAAAAATGGAGAACGCCATTTTTAAGATATTGATTAGTTTAATATGCCTGCATTTTTACTAATTTATCGAAATTTTTTTTGTCAATATCTCGGAAACTAAATTAGATATCTAAAAACAGATAACACCAATCGAAAGACCTTATTTCAAAATATATAACTGCATCTATAACTAAAAATCGTCAAAATTGCGTTTACGACAATCTTTTACCCAGACGACGAAATGCAAATCCTCCTATACTTTTCATTTGTTCAATTAGGGCTTTTTAAAAAGCGGCATAAGTTCGCTAATTTTCTAGTTACGGTTCTATTTTTTTTGGGGATGGAAAAAACCTAATTTCGAAAAAAGTGTCAGTTGGGGCTAGGATTGCCAACATTTTCTAAGATATAGTACTTTTTCAAAGAAATTTAAAAAATATAGTACACTTCGAATGTATTTGGGCAAATCTAAAAAACAGGAACCTTGGTGTTGGAACTATATCAAGCTGGTTGCTTTTGGATATAATTCATTGGCGTATACTTGAAGCCTCAAAAAAAAAAAATTGGATCAATTTGCTGCATAAATTTTGAAACACCTGTTTATCACGTTAGTTTCTGGAGCATTTAATTTTAAGAACTTTTTAAGTATGTATTGTATTCTACAAACAATTACGAATAATTTGATACCTTAGCAAGAGGTCTGAGATCTTGAGCGTGATTTTTATTCCAAAAGGCACATTTGGAAAATACATCGAAACGATCTAAATATCTTTATAACTACTAGTCCTTATAATGTTGCATATACCTGTAAAATGCTTCAAAAAATGTTCTCTAGAAGTGTGTAAAAACTCCGATTTCTTGTAGTCAGAATATTTCGAGCGTGGTATCAAATCAATTTTTTTTTTTGACAAAGGTTCTGATAGTTGCTCTTACTTAATTGGAGCCTTCTAAATTCAATGGGGTTCCCAGTTTTGCCCCATTGCCGCCACTTTTGAAGATAGCGGAACTTGAAACTTTGCTTAAATTTGAACTATTTTATAAAAAAAACTCCCTCAGTTTTGAAGATATTTTACTAAAATTTTGCACACGCTTGAATTTTAATATTTTCTTCACTATCTCATAAAATCATCGAAATTGGTTCACTCTAAAATCTAGCTCCCATACAACTGATTTTCCAGAGACGTTGTTTTGCGTTATAACTCCTCCAATTAAACAGGTAAAAATTTAACATATAGCTCGCATACAATTTATTATTCAGATATGAAGTTAGAGTTGTAGGAGCTATACGTTTCGATAGTTTTAAGGAATAATTAAGGTAATATTAAAAAACTGTTATGTGCAAAATTTTAGTAAAACAACTTCAAAACTGAAGGAGTTATTTATAAAATAGTTAAAATTTAATCAATTTTTCAAATACCTTGAAGACCGGAGCCAATCTGGTAAAACGGGGGATGCCATTGAATTTATAACGTCCCAATTAAGCGAGTTCAAGTTTCAAAATCGTGGCTCAAAATTTACAACTTGAACAACGTAATTTGAACCCAGCTTATTCTTTTGTTTTCTATTTCATGTTTATTCCTCGTCTAACTTTTAAAGCACTTATTGAAAATGAATTACACTTATATTAATCGATTTATTAAGAGAATATGAATAAAATGACATATAAAACATAGGTGCGCCGACCAGAAAAATAATACAGTACTATATATTATAGTACGGTTGGCAACCCTAGTTAGGGTCTTCCTACATTTCATCAACGAAATGTGTGCGGTTTTTACCGCAAACCGTACCGTTACCGTTTACAAACATGCATATAAAAAAGTGCTCTATTAAATTAAAATTATAAATTATCTAAACTTTTTTATTATAATTGTCTGCTTACAGTTTCTAGTTTTACACATTATAATAATAATTATTGATCTTAAATATTTACTATATATCTTTTGTATGTAAGTTTTTGATTATTAATCATTAAAAACAAAGAAAAAAGAGAAAACGTTAAGAAGGTTTCCTTTGATTTTCTTAAGTTTTGGTAGTTTTCGTGATAGATTCTCTGATACGATACTCCCAGATTTTAGGATGGTTGACCGATGCGTTGTTATCATGGCGCCTGATCTTCTTAGTTCAGGTGGTAAAGCGAAGCTCACAAAGTTAATTCCAGCTAGCGGCAGAGAGAGTTTTTGTCAGGCAGAGTACGCCCGCTTGAGGAACCCCTGGGGTCGAATCATAACAGTCGTGAACGAGCACCTCGTCACGTAAAAATGCATCTTTCGGATTATAACAGTTTTAACGATTTAATTCTATGGGGCTTAGACTTGGCGTTACGGATTCAGCTGATTGGCGTGGAAGCGACGAGTCCTTGGCAAAGCGTCGCGCGATTCAACGAATACCTGAAACTAGGACCGCCAGATGGTAGACGTTGGTTCAGACTATCGCTTATCTCTATGGTGATGGCGTTCAATGCTGTTGTGGTGTTATGCATTTTCCGAAATCCATGATGCTGTTAGGCTAGTTTGAGGCGCTTCGTCAGGCTGGGGAGAAGTAACGCTTTCATAGGTTTTCTATTAGGAATAGGAGACAGATGGGTCTTTAAGAGTATCTTGCGTCCTTCTTCTTCCCTTTATTAAGAAGGCAAATTATGCTTACTATTTTTTACAGCTCGTGGATGATCGGGATGGACAGTGTTAAGTTTATACTCAACTCCCGCAGTCCCTCTTACAGTATTGTCAGTGTTAATGCTGGTTCACAGATAAACGAGGTCCTATAAAGTCTTTTAACAGTGGCGAAATGGTTAGGTTAGGAAGGCGTGTGTGGAATACTCCATACTTTCACTCGGTAGACTTATGTGCTTGTCCATTTTCAGTGCCCTCTTTAAGCGAATGTCAGGAGGAGACACGTACCCATAATCGAGAGAGTACATTGAAGCCATTATTCTACTGAACACATTACTGTCCCTAATGAAGTTGAGGAGATCCAAGTGCTTAAGGCACGTCGACACAGAAAGTGGTCAATCGGCTAATCCTCATCACAGCAACTTCTGCATAGATTACTTGTTGGTATTAGCCACCGTTGAAGTATTGGTGATATAGCACAGTGTCCTGTGATGACGCCGGTAAGGTCTCTTACTGCAAACCTATTGAGTTTTACTACTTCCGTCGTCTTTTTCCTACTGAGCCGCGGCCATAATAATCTCGCACAGTCTTCCCGTTTGTTCCACAAGTCACAAGGCATCAATTTTCCTAACGTGACCACTAAACGGAGCTATCCGTTTGTTCTATTGGCATCTCAGGCATATTCAGTTCAACATTGCTATGTCAGGGGACTAAGCATAGAAATATGTACGTTGATACGACTCAGTGACGCCAGAGTGGTGCGACATTCCCATTTCCCGATTTCAGAATTTTAGTTCCTAGTGGAGGATAGTGGTGTTATCTTCTTTCTATAGCATAGATATCTGCCTGGAAGACACTGCAGTCATTCGGAAGACGAAAGGACGGGTTGGTCTGCAGGTCCTTCGAGTAAAGACCGGCTCCGGTTTATTGTCCCATCTTTGATCCATCAGTGTAGATGGATAAACCTTTCTCAGCTACTGCCAGTCCTGTATGCCATTCTTCTTTAGTCGGGAACCTAATAGGTACCTTACTATTGGAACCCCAAGCAGGCGTAATGTAATCAGTGCTGGCTTCTATGTCAGCTTTGATTCCATTGGATATTACTTTTTCTTCTTCTTTTTTGGCGCTGTAACCGCCTAAGCGATTTTGGCCGAGTTCAGCAAAGCACGCCAGTGCCAACAAATGCCACATTAGCCTACCAAGTTCAAATAACTCAATTTATACTCAATTAAATACAACTTTACTCTTTTTTTACCTTCCTTTAATTAACTCGGGATGTAACTATGTAATATTGATGCGCCTAAAAGATGCAGCGATTTCTATTCTCAAGTTACATACCTGATGACAGTACGAATGGCAATTTTAATAGGGAGGTTCTAGTTTTTTAAACTATAAACTATAATTTTATTTAATTTAACCATTTTAGTTAGCGCGCCATTTTTTGACAGAAAGCGTAAAAATAAATTAATGCATCGCTAACTAAAATGTTTAATTTAATATAGAGTAAAGTTGTATTTAATTGGGTATAAATTGAGTTATTTGAACTTGGTAGGCTAATGTGGCATTCTACGGGTAAGAGGATCTGAGAAAGATACACAGTAATCGAAATTAGCTTTTCACCATGTATCACATATTGAAATTTAGTAATAAATACAAGAGTTACGAAGAAAATTGATTTTGGCCATTTTTTGGACTCGCCAGGGACGAAAGTTTTTATGAGCTTAAAATCCTCTCGAAATAACCTTTCAACCTAGGGGCGGAAGTGAGGGGAATATTTGCAAACATATTTTCGAGACCAAGTGTAATAACATATTTAAATTTTTAATTTTTAATCAAGGAAAACCCCTGTAACTGCAGTCTTCATATGCAGAGCCCCATTTTATTCTTTTCATTTCAGCAACACTATGTTAAGACAGCAAATGAACGAAATACGTTTTCCCCGACGCGCCCGCACTCCTGAAAATGACGTTTTTTTAAATTTTTCATATGATGTGACCATCAGAAGGGGCTGGCTGTAGATATTTCATCTATTTATAATATTAATAATGTCCTGTGATAAGGACAGCCCATCTGAAGTATGTTGAGTTATGGTTGCAACAATGCACTTTCAACATGGGCTGTTTGTACTCTAAGATCATCAGAATTGACAGGCAACCTTGAATTCATTTTATATGCACTGTAAATAGAATTCTGTCTAAATTTCAAGTGGTCTGAAGTATGTTGAGTAATCGGTTTCCATAGACATCTTTAATCGCTAAAAACGCATAATCAAGACCGCTGTTCAGCAGCCAGCCCTCCAGATCTCGATTTATATATTAACAAGCTAAGCTCACAAAAAATTTCAATCGATCTGAAGTATGATGAGTTTTTTGGTCATGAGCTCTCCGTCTATCATTGAATATTACTGCATTCCCGAAATTCGTTGCCTTCCACCTATTTGCCTCTCTGAACCTGAGAGCGCTCGTTGTGGACGTACATTGAATAAAAATATGCAGCGGTTGCAGGTGAAGTATCATGTTAAGCGCTTCCTGAGGAGCGCCACTCACTGTCCCCGCTATGCCAAGGCATGCGAGTCTTTGCACTTTTCCTGTTATTTTCCTGTTATTTCCTTTGTCTAGAGCCTTACTAAGGCCCGTTGGTTGCAATTGGTCTGATGACTGTGGTGTACATCCCCATTGCTTTGCAAAGGTCCTTTTGCACGCGTAATATGCGGCTAGAGTTTTCTTGGCTCTCCTCTAATTTCATGTTCCAATTTAACTTGGAGTCCAGAATTATTCCGATGTGCCTATGGTCGCGTTGATTATTCTGCTCTTGAGCATGGAGTCAATCCATGCCCTAGAGGGCGCACTATGGGCAAAATACGAGTTTTTTTTTATCGTAGATCTTCGGTTATAAAAGAGGTAAAAGAATGAATTTTTTTACGTGAAGACAAATGTTCATATAATATAGGAAAATTATAGAGAAGTTACATAAATAATAACTTAACCCTCAAAATACCGTTCAAAATGCCAGTTTTTTTAAATTTTGAATTTTGGCTCCCATTCTATAAGAAAACACTTTATTGAATACACCATTTCTGAAAGATTTCGCTTTATTTTATCTTATGACGCAATTTTTTGGCATTGGATGCTGTACTCGAGTCGCCAGATTGAAAAAGGTAAAGCTTTCTTTAAACTCTAATAACTCGTAAACTATCAGCTTTTACAAAAAAATGTATACGACAGAAATGGTTATACTGGTCGATATCTTTACGAAAGTGCAACATTTAACCCTTTAATGCAGAGTCTGTCATATATGAAACTCTTTTTAACCCTTTCAAGGCAAAGGCAAAATAGTTCTCTATATACTTTTGAACGTGCTTTTTCTCATGTTGACGTAAATAGTAATCGTAAAATGTTGTTGAAAATGTTTCCATAGTAAAATAAAAATTAAAAATAATAATTTCTTCAACTAAATCTCTTTTTTATTTTTTCCTCTTATGTTTGTATAAAATAATATCCGAAAACCATATGCAAACTTTATTTAACGCTTCTAAAACGTTAAGCCGTAAAGGGTTAATACTAAAGTAAACGAAAATATTGGGCCGTATTTTTTTTCATACCTTTCACTTAAGTTTATTTGAACAAATTTAATAAAAGGTCTGAAATTTTGCTTAGGTTTTATGCACACGGCCCATTATTTTTTGTCTTTGCCCTTTTGTTTTCAGAAATTAATTGCTCTAGCATTACGCGGGTTTCATTTTTTATTTAACTCATTAATAATTGTATGCGGTATGTCTATACATACATACATATACCCTTCCTTAAAGGGTTATGTGTTGCTTTTTCGTCAAGATATCGACCAGTATAACCACTTTTGTTATACAAATTTTTTTGTGAAAACTGATATTTTACGAGTTATTAGAGTTTAAAGGGAGCTTTTTAAATTACATTTTGAATGGTATTTTGAGGGTTAGGTTATTGTTGTTGTAACTTCTCTATAATTTTCCTATATTATATGATCATTTATCTTCACGATATAAAATTTCATTCCATTATCTCTTTTCTAAACGAAGATCAACGATTGTGAAAAAAACTCGCGTTTTGCCCATAATGGGGCGCTGAATGACATGCTCAGAGAGTGCCTTGTTTCTCGCTTCCGTTCGGACATTATAGAAGGCCCCTTCAATACACAGGAAGGCGGCAATGGTGTATTCATTAAATTCTAGCGAATTTTCAATAATGCCTACCACTTCGTGAAGCGCTCTTTCAAAAGCTCTGCGTTTGTGGTATGCGTGTTGAGCTGTGTCCATTATGTAGATGCAAAAACGTTCCCTTATGAGTGATTTATTTGCTCTGGTTTTGGGATGAATATGACCTATGGGGGCTCCATGCTTTCGGTAAAAATCCAATTCTAAGCATCTCGCAAAAATGCTTGACAAATGGGGCATCAGACTTTCACATGAGTATTGTAGCGTAACGAGCATCACGGATAGAAAGATTTGATAGTCCAAGCTACTTTCTCTTCTATAGGAGCACGAGGCCGTTTTGTCACTTCAATACTGACAATTTGGTCCGTGCTACCTGGAAAGTGGGTGTCCATTAAACATTCAAGGGTTTCCTGGCGACCGTCCCAGAGCCATCTGGCCTTAAGACGCTGCCCAGAGTCTCGGTAGACCTGGTAAATAACTTATGAAGCCTCGACACTTCATTTGTGGTCTCCAGCCTTCTGCAGAACTCCTGCCAGAATTATTTCTTTGCAGCCCTAATCTACTCTTGTATTTGTTAAAGCCGGTTCTGTATTTGTTCCAGTTTTCCGCACGTCGGCTACGTTTAGACTTGTTGAAGAGTTTCTGTGCCATGATCTAAGTTGTTTAGACGATTAACTGCTCTGTTGAGATTAGAATTCGCCAAACTTCGAGTGATCCGAAAAAGGACAACTGTCCGAGATACTTGATCATGTCCTCGTTCACCTCCAGACCCATTCGATTTGCTTCCATAATGAACTTGGGAAAACAGAAGAAACTGTGCGGTTGTTGAGGTGATGTGGTCAATATCATCACATACGCCAGTAATTATACGCGCTTGGTAAAAAGTGTACCTAGCGAATTCAGTTCTGCAACATTTATTATCTTCTATTGCATCATTCCCACGATAGAGAGTCGTACTGTTTGATATTTCGTTTAGTATGGTAGAGGTCTTTCCCAATTATGACGGAGATGGTGTTATTTTTCAACTTCACTTTGAACATCCGTATTAGTTTCGTGCAGATCCCAAAATCAGGCATTGCGGTGTATATGCAGCGTCTCTTCGTGCTGCCCAATGAGGTTTTAAAATTGACAAAGATATAGTGAGTGTTGGCCCTCTCCTCGTCTTTTCCAGGGTTTGTGGTATGGGGCATACCTGGCCTACAGTGGACTAAACTGGTCCAAAGCCACACAGACAAAGCCCAATCAGTACGTTGACGGTAGGCTTTCGACTTTCACACCTAGCGCGAGATAAGACCTTATAGACGACTTATAGGAGGCGCATATGGTGGGGCTGCCCCTCTTGTATACGTATTGGGCAAACAACCCTTCTTGCCATTTTCGGCTCTAGAGTTGATGCATGCAACTTATCAAGTCCTCGCCGCCGTACTTAAATAGCTCAGCTAGCACGCTGTCTGCTCCAACAGGTTTACTAGTTTTGAGCCGTGAAATTTCGATTCGTACCTCATCATAGTCAGGCGGTAGGACATCGACTTCGTCATCCTCGATTCGGGTTCATCTTCTTCAGTGGTTTCAGTCCTGGTATAATTCAACAGGATGAAAAAGTGATTTTCAAATTGTACGCACATCCAAAACACTGTCAAACAATCCAAGCTAAAGGTTTTGCTATTCGCGAGGCGTGTGGAAAATAGCCTTGGTCACAGATCGAATAGAACAAAAATCGTAATTTTTTCGGACGGCCAGACAATTTTTTCGGACATTCTGGAATATGGAAACAAATTTTGGTGCGGCAAATCTTGAACTGGTTTTTGATATAGTTTTTTGTAAGTATAAAGTTTTCATCAGATCCAGATTTTGAGAAAAAAATCGCGATTTTTGCAGTATTTGAGAAGCTCTAGCAAAGAAACAAAAGGTGATAGATCTTTCTCGACTACTGTCTCTGAAAGAACCATTCCTGCCCCTTGCAATGCAATCTAAGGAAGCAGAATGAGTTGTGGTTTTAAAAAGGCACATACTTTAAGTTTAATCGGAGTGTTGTAAGCAGTCGCTACATCAACCAACTAATAGAGACTCTGTCCACAGCGCATCTTCT